TTTTTTTTTTAATACATGTTCTAGATAAAGGCGAAATAAATAATCATGAGGTGGAAAGCAGAAGCCGGAGGGAAAAAAGCATCTTTTATCTATTTCTACTTCTGACTGCTCAGTAAAGACATCTACAGACCCCTCCTGTTTGAAGGGCAGGATGAAGGTGCTACCCCCTGGGCTCACTGGGGCCGGCCACCGCATCAGCCCCACTACCCACCACGGAGGGACAGTGGAAAGACTGCAAGAGCTTGGTTTGGCTGGACTTAAATTACTTTAATCTCCTCTAGTACAGGACAAGAGACACAGGCTTTGCAGTTCATATTAGCCTTCAAATGTCTTTTACAGCTCAGCAAAAAATCACAAATGTGCACTTGCATTTCACAGCAGTGTATTGCCCTTTGAGACTTGATTGCATCTGTTTCTGAAAAGTTCAGCCACTGAAATCTGTTTGTAGTCTTCAACCCAAAAATCTCTGAGTGCAGCAGCTTTGCCACCCATAAGTATTTCTTACGAGATCACCCTGATGTACTTTGTTCTTCCAGTTCGTAATACATAATCATTTCCCAGAGGATTTGGGTTAGGTGCTGTACTTTTTTCCCCTCTTGAAAATAAGTCCAAGTTGTTCTTTTAACATACTGTGGCCTACACACAAAATAACCGCGTATACATACACATACACAGCATCTTCATAAGCAACACAGTTAAGCAAGGATTGAGAAAAGCTAGGCTCAGGGGAACTGTCAGGATGCTACTCTTCTGTGTGGCCCAGATCAAAGACTGATTCAGCTAGTGCTGAAGTTAGAAAACTCATTGTTCCTCTCACACAGATCAAGTCTGCAATTTCATGCTCGTTGATGAGAGATACCCTGTACAGTTCAGGTTGGAGACAACTTTACACAGCTACTATTTTTACCTTTTAGAGTCAGGAAGATCTAGGTAGAACAAACTACGTTAATAGTTTAGTTTTTGAGTGACGGGTCTTAGACTTGTCTGATCAGACAGGGCACGTGAGATTGGCTGTAATGATTTACCTTCCTGGTTCACACAGGGAGAGACCCCTGCTCACCTTCACAGCAACTTCTGTAACGCCAAGCACTAGTTCTGAACAGCAAGGGCAGTTCCAGGTTTACTGTCTAACACAGATTAGTAAGAGGTTTATGCACTTTCACTGCCCAGCCAGTTGACAGCTCTGCTAGCAGACTTGCTAAATTACAGGCATGTACTTGAGTTCCTAGTGTCACAAGAACCACTAGGACTTCTTCCAGATTTCACAGAAGTTTGGAGTTAAGACAGTTTAACCAAGCCCCTCCGTCAAACAAATCACACAACCAACCTTTGTCCTTTATAATTGTCCACCAGAACAAGCATTAAATAATTTTCATTGCTTCAGTACTCTTACTATCTGCCTTCAACATTTAGTAAATTTTCATCTTCCTACTGCACAAACATCCCTGTTTGTATACAGCTTTGGACTTTCTATTTCAGACTTAAAGACAGGACAACAAGGCATCACGACTAGCTCACCAGGGGACTGTAAGCAGAAGATGAGCAGAGCTGCTTCCTAACCTGGTGCACAGCACGAACTGAGCCCAACCAGCACACGTTGGGTCTCACACGACTGGCTTTAAAGCCTCAGGAAGAGCTCGTCCTGCTCCAGGACCTCTCCATGATTTATCTCCTCACCACCCAGAGTTAACTCGGGCTTCCGCCATAGCACCAGTCTATAGGCACGTTTACATCTCTGTTCTTTAGGAGCACGCGGTTTCACGAAGACGTCCAACATATGCAGGATGGCACCCACCACGCCCCTGCCTCAGCATGCACTCACTGAGGAGGGGCCCTCCACCAGCACTTTTTGATCTCTGCTGTGTGGTATATTACCATATCATAGTCTTGAATAAGGAAAGAAAAAAGGACTCCGCTGTTTCCTTCATCTTCAGGCAGACTCCACGGTAAATACATGACTGCTCTTTCCAGAAATACGTTCAAAGTACAGAATCAAAGCATTCTCTTCATATCTGAAGTGCCTGTTACTCCTCTAAAAAACTGCCCCTGCTCCACCCCCACTCAATCCACCTGATCTGCAGGACTTCAGTAAGTTGAAGTCTGACAACTACAATCCAAGTAGCGGCCTTTGCTAATCCAGATACCAACCCAACTTCCTTAAATTAAGCTTTATATCTATAGCTAGTTTCAGTAAATACTGTTCCTTTCCCCAGTAATTATCAACATTAATCAACTCTAACCCCAGTAAATAACTACAGCAAAGATTTAATTTTGAATTGCTACCTAAAAAGTGTAATTCCTTCTGCCAGAAACTTCTGTCAGGGGAGAAAAGAAAAAAAAAAAAATCTATGTGATGCTAGTGTTTCTTCATGGAGACCCAGGCTTCCTCTCAGAACAAAAGCTGAGCATCATTTGTGACAGACTTCATTCACCACCTCTCTAGACTTACAGAGGATTTTGCAGGCAACAAGAATACAGACCCTTCAGTAGGCTTTTTTTTTTTTTTTTTTACATTCAAGTCAAAAGCTGCCAGACTGATTACCAATAGACTTACTTCATCACTGCTCTCACACCCTCAGAGGCAAACCAAGGCTGTGATGGATGATAAGTTTTAAACAAGATTATGAAGCAATCCAAACTTAAGCAGAAGCGCAAGCTGCATATCTGAACTAGGCCTAGAGAAAAAATATCCCACAGTATAGGGAAAAAAAAACCCCAAACACTTTAAATGTTAACTAAGCCATGTTTGCACAACTCACTTTCATACACAACAGAGAGAGCTCAGCACTAGCAGCTTTGGTGAGTGACTGAAGACTGTTTCTATGGTGGTAGTAGTTTATCTCCCTGCATCTGCTAATGAAAGGCATTTCTTTATCAACACTTCTCCCCTTAATCTTACTTGATACTTCAGAAGAGCAGCCTAGCAGTATGGTAATGTAAGCCTATTCCTTATTTCCCCAAGAATCCATCCTGAACTTAAAGGAGACTGCTAAGAAAGCTCAAAGAAAACTTATGCACAAGGTACTACTTATGTCCAGTAGCATCCGCTCTGAAATACGTGCAATGGATTTAGCAAAAAACCCAAACCACATAATTTCTTGCATTTTCCAAGACCTTCTGGGCATGTTCCTTTACATCAGACAGCACTTCATTTCCACCTCAAGCATTAACTTGTTATAACTGCTTCGGGAACACAGCTACGCAGAGACAATTTGTACTTGATACATCCACATAATCAGTCTCAAGTTAATGGCTGTTTTAGCATATACTTGAACAACCAGTATGGAATGAGTATCACATGCTCTCATTCAGTTCCTATATGAACAATTTAGCCTGACCCAGTACTGTAATCTCTTGCCCACGGTAACACTTCAAAAGTTAGTGCATCAGTGCAATACATGAAGATCTCGCTTAAGAGATCCAGGAAAAGGTAGGGATGACTGAAGACGGTCAAATCAGGCAGGCACAGCAACATCTATTTCCTCTTTCACCTGTCTTTTTAATCTGTAAGAAAGTTCCATACCCTGTAATACAACAAATTACAAAAGGCGTTTCTCTTCTCCAACCATTTTCAAATCAAATAACTGGACCAGCTACAGCTAAAATAAGTCTCTTACAGACAGTTACAGAAGATTCTTCTTTTGAGTTTTATTTTTTTTATAGCAACATGAAGTACATGTTTCCACTTAGGTATTTTAGTGCAACCAGGAAATCCATTACCTCAATAAGCTTCAGCAAGGTGCTCTATGTTTCTGTATGCAATGGAAAAAGATTAAAGTGTCTCCCTTTGTTGCATAACACTTTAAAGCTTCAAAAATCTAAGTAAATAGCTCTCACAGAATTAAACAAGCAGACACTTGGCTTGATTATGAAATGCTTTTGTTGGATGAGCTAAGTGTTTTCTGCAGTAGAGCAATTCATTTGTAAGCCACAGGCACTACTACAAGAGTGGTATCAGAGTAGAAGTGGTGACATTTTAGTAGTCTGTGCAAAAATTCCACTCTACTTTTTGCAAGATGCGTATCTTGAAGATACATTCTCCCAGTTGATCACATTCCATATGGCTTTCAAATAATCAGGTCGAACATTTTTATACTGAAGATAATAAGCGTGTTCCCATACATCGATTCCTAGCAAAGGAATGAGACCTGTAAAAAGAAAAAAAAAGGAGGATAAGTTTTGTAAATCTCTGAAAACATATTTTACTTGTAAAGTCTTATATTGCATCCCAAAGTTTTATCCAATTTGAGAGTCTTTATCTGCAGGAAGACAAAGAGCTCTCCAGCACATAGGTGCTTACTGCACCATCTTACAGAATTGTTTTCTCTCCACACACACACGCTGCATAAGCTGAACGAGCTGATTAGCAGCTATGAATGCTCTAGAACTGCCTTGGAGACATAACTGAAACAAGACAAAGTCATTTTTGACAGGTTTACATCTTTTGCACTGTTATGCAAGTATTTGCATGAAAAGTTACACCATGAAGGAGTCTCTTTGCCGTAACAGTTTGCTTCCAATATTTTAATCACAAGTTATTGTCTAATTACTTTTCTTGCTTTTGCGCTAAAATAGCCTTCTCAGCAAATTTTTAATGGGGACTATGCATGGGGGGGAGGGGTGAAATTTACCCACATTATGCTGTATATCCCTATGATAATTATTTAGGGGTTTTTTCCTGCCTATAAGCAATACAGAGACTCCTGACAATACAAGAAATTCCTTGCCGTTCTCGATGAATTCTAGAGAACATGTTTTAAAGATATCTGCAGTAGGATTTGAGAATCCTGTGGGCAGGATTCTCATTGGCTATGAGCTCTCCCCTCTGTGGAGGGTGTCCAGCCTGCCATCATCACTGCCATGTTACTCTAAGCAAGTAAGGCTATCTTCGGAAGTGACCATGGCCCATATTACGCTGCTTGCCTAGCTGTAAGATTTATCCTCATCCAAGGCTTATTTAGTTGTCACTCATTACTCTTTACCAATATCAAGGAAGCAGATCATAAGACTTCCATTTTGAACCCAGCCTAGATAGTAAGAGTTACCGTGTACACCTGCCCCTCTCCTGTTGTCTGGCATACACTGACAGTTCTGTGAATAGCCCCTCTGCCAGAGAAAACAATCTAAAGGCAAGAGGCTTAATCTTCCTCAATATAAGCAAGCTACTCCAGTTACTCAAAAATAACCCAAAGGAGCCTAAGCTAAAACTACTAAGTGAGAGCACTTTCACAATATGCCCCATCTATTTCCCTTTTGACTAGACAGACGTTAAACCCTACTGCTCTTCACCGTTTTTAAGTCCTGCTTTACAAACGCTGTTTGAAAAATTGCAATTGTTTTTCACTTCCACTAGTAGTGATATTTAGTTTTCCAGCCCTATTTATCCACCAATTTCTTCTCAGCATTTGTCCACAAACTCCTTTTCAGATCTATGAAATCTACAACAAAAGAAGCAGAGGGGAAGGAAGGAAACCTGACCTGTTGTTCCTTGCAAAGGGTCTTGATTTGCACAAGCTGCTATTTGTAGGCGCCCCTGCTCTTTGTTATAGCCAAGCCACCCCCAGCCTGATCCTTGAACACCAACTGATACAGCTGTCAGCTTCTCCTTGAAGTTTGCGAAGGAACCAAAGTCACGCTTGATGGCTTCCATGAATTCTCCTTTAAAAAAAGCACAGAAAGTTCACAGAACATCAGGTACTTAACATCTTTCAATTTCCAGATATCACCTGGAAATAGAAGGAAAGAGGAACAGAAGCATTTGGGCTTGGTGGGAATGAAGTGTCTAGACAAACAGAGTAGTTGCATCATTCATTAACAGTTCTGTCCCAATCTGCTTAAGAGGGCAAGCAGACTGGAAAGAAATTAGTGTAGTAGTCCTCAAAGACACAGCCAGGATGTTATCAACAGGACACTCAGGCGTTTACATTCTTGTCTAAAAGGGAAGGGAATGCCACAGAAGAGGACTACAAAAGAACATAAAGAGCTAGTTTGCATATCTAGAAGGGGAACACTAAGTGGCTGTGATTTCTTTGCCTTAATACAAAGAAATATGTGGACACCTTTGATATCAATATAATGAACCTACACATAGTTAAAAGGTATTTAACTACTTTCCTCAGATTTTAGATTTACATCTGCCTCTATGTTTAAGCAGTCTATTCCATATGGATAAGTAGGCTCCATGATTAGATCCTTTCTTTATTATACAGTTAAGATAACCTGTGCTGGGGAAAGGGAACAGAAATTAGAATTGTTTAGTGTAACAGCGTACTGTCAAACTACTTCCTCTCCCCTACACCCTAGCACACTGGTTTTCAGATATTTAAGTGTTTGCTCAAAACCTGAAGATATCTACCCTCCTCTCCAATTAGCTTTCTAATTAGCATGTGTAGAATACTTCATACACTGCAATGCTGGAGAATTCTTCATTCCCTCCACCTTCAGACAGATGGTCTTGAAAATCTCTTGGTGACAGCTGCAAGTGCATCTTTAAGACAGGCTTTAGCAGGCTTACTATAAAAGCCTTGAACCATTCAGTTGAAACTGAAAGGTGATATTTTAGGCTTACTGACTTTCACAGAAACTTCACAGAAATTGGGAGACAAAAATCAAGACTTTAAAGCATCTTTTCTGAGAATGTCATCTAAAACCAAGTTCTATCAGAAATGGATTGATATTAGAACTGCTTGTTGAAATTTCAGCTTTGAAGCTTCAAAACTTTATGCTCTAGACTAAATTAGATTGTCTTCAGAGCATCTTTTTTCCTCCATGGTAGAGTCAAAAGTCACAAGCAGATGTCACTTATAAACGCTGAACTGGAGTAAAGCACCTGAAGCCCATCAATTTACAGACGGGCATATAAACCTCATTCAAAAACCCTCAAGTTTATCACAACAGCTTTTGTGAGATCTGTATTATAGGGCCTTTACCTTTGATTGCAGGTCACTTGTAATAATCACTACTCTATCCTCCCAAAGGGGATTTCTTCCTTTAGGCTTTAACTGCTAAACTATCCCTATTTCAAATTGGAGCATAAATCCAGTCACTAGAGGTTGGGTGGTCTGCAGCACATTTCTTCCTTGTCTGTGAATCAAGTACATATATAAGAATTTAATTAGCACAGCTTTGGGAAACTGCTTTCTCCTATGAAGATGGAAAGGACAATATGCAGCAATAGCCAAGTATTTTGCAGTGTACACAATCAGATTTAGAACTTAAAAATACTTAGCACAGGGCTAGCTTTTTTTATTCTTGGCTTGCAACTGAAAAATGCTGAATTCCTCAGAACTGTGGTAACTGTCATATAGACAGGTAAATTAACTCTGAAAAATACATATCCTTCACACCCTTTGAAAGAGAAAAGATCATCAGTTCCACTGGTCAATTAAAATTGACACAATAAACCATTGTAACAAGCACTAACCTTTAGGCTCTCCTCCTCCATTAGGAGAAAGGTTTGTCCAGAAGATGGTATGATTGATATGACCCCCACCATTGAACTTCAGTGCAGGCTGAAGTGACACTTGAGCTGTAACATCACCTAAAGATGCAAGAGATAAAAATATGTAGATAAATAAAAACATCATCATAGTAGTCACGAAATTGCCACTAAGCCTCCATTGATCTCCAAAATCTTTCTAGTCTATAACATGTCTATGGAAAAGGTAAGGTTTGTGACTGTTATCCATATTTTAGATAGTCACTGACAAACTACATTAAAGATTTCTATCTTTGACCGTTTCTTATCCTGTAATGATTTGTGATCTGCCAATATTGCACTGATTAGGCAACCCATGTTACACTTGTAAGATCTACTGCCATTCTACAGCAGAATAAAGGAAATAGCAGAGCCAAAACATTTTAAGGACCCAGCACTTGTAAATTGCTCAGTATTACCACTACAACACAAGAACATTGTTCACCCATTAGCTCACTGATATGCAAACCAAGAATTTTTAAACTTCTTAAACAATTTACAGGGCAGTTTGTGCTTCAGATAAAGTTGATAAGTACAATGAGCATGTACACGAACAATATGTTCTTCTCACCTCTATTTTTTGTTTCATTTTGGGTTTTTTTGTAATGAGGTACTGGCAGGAAGAGATAGTGACCCAGATCATTTTACTCCACAAAACAGAACCCTGCATCCAAAATAAAGATCAAACTAAGGTTTTAATACAGAATTCCAAGTTCTCGGCATCTTCTCATGCCCTCCACAAACTACGATAGCCTTAGTAAGCTCATACAAATAAAGTATCTGGATGAAGCTCTTCCAATCTAACTCACAAGTCCCCCAAAAATACAGAATTCAATGCTTTGCTAAAATAAATCACAATAGCACTCAATCACACACCCATGGCTTTTTGTTTTTGCTGGAAATGACCACTGTTACAGTAAAGAGGTTCCTTAAGATACAGAAACTAAAGACTTTTCTATAAACCTTTCTGTGCTGGTTTTGGCTGGGGTAGTTAATTTTCTTCATAGCAGCTGGCACGGGGCTATCTTTTGGATTTGTGCTGAAAACAGCATTGATAACACAGAGATGTTTTTGTTATTGCTGAGCAGTGCTTACACAGAGTCAAGGCCTCTTCTGCTTCTCACACCACCCACCAGCAAGTCAGCTGGAGGTGCACAAGGAGTTGGGAGGGGGCACAGCTGGTGAAAGTATCTTGGAATTTATTTGTATACAGAGTCCCTGGCCTTTGCTCCAGCTGACTACACTCAACACAGCCACAGAGGACAATTCAGTAAACCAAGACAGGCAGCTCAGAGGTGCTCCAGAGACTAGTCAGCTCAGTTTCTCAGTCTAATGAGAGTCATTTGTTTCCTTGTAAGAGCAGTAAGTCACACGACTGTCAGAAAAAAGCAGGGAAAATCTTGGCAGGCACAAGTTTCCACTGAAAATAAGTTTCAAGTTTATATCCTCTAATTAGCCAATCCTGCACATTTTAATGAATCATTAGTCAGAACCAGCTTATGCTGAAATAACAGAGTCCTGTGCTGCACCCTATCACAGAAGTGCATGCTCATTTTCAAATGAGCTGACAACATAAGCCAATGGGACTCAACTGAGGACAGCTTTTATTTGAGTTTTGTAAGCAGATACACATAGGTGAAGAAGATACTAAAGATGATCTGAAGAGAATACTTTACTTCTTATTGCTGAACAAAAGCCATTGACAAGGTTCTGTTATCCAGAAGAGATATTAGGTAGTGATTAGACATGCTGTGTAACCCAACACTGAAATGCATTCTCAGGTTTTAAGTATGGAAAAAGAATGGCAATACTGAGACAAGGAGGTAGCAGTTCAGACTTTGCCCTTTCCTAAACCCTGGTCTAATGAGGTTCAAAGTACTACACACAGTATACTGGGATACCAATCAGGGGGAAAAAAAAAGCCAAACCAAAACCACACAAATATCGCAAGGAAGTATTTATCTGCTTTGATGTGCACAACCACCATGAGTACATTATCCATTTGCAAAATAATGCCTAAAAATCCTTAAGATTAACCTCGACCTCTAGATACACCATTTCCAACAGCAAGTGATGAAAGCTTATCAAGGGATAGTATTTAAAAAACAAACAAACAAACCTCAAAGGACCCACAACACTGCAGATGTTTCTGCTAACCACAAATTCTGCCTCCGCAACTGGCTGAAGCCTTGGTCATTAAACAGCACAAGTAATATCAGCAGCAGATTCACTGATTTCTTATAGTTCAAGTTCCCCCCTCAATCCTGTTTCTGCTAATTAAATCTCCAGAATACAACTTTACTGGATCCACCACTGTCAGGACAAAGCAGCAGCCAATCTTGATTGCCTGATTCTTAATCGAATCTTCTTAGTTCATTAATTTAGACTGCACAAATTATTTTGGGGCTTACTTAGGCACTTGAAAATCTCCAAACTTTTATAGGTAACCAACTTTCTATATTCAAAGACACTAGCATTTATCAAGGGCAACAGTATTCAAATTTGCTCAGATATTGACAATTCTCACTTTTACCCAAGCCCAAGCAATTAAATTGCACTGTGAACCCACCTGGCAACCAGACAGAAGTAAGCCTATAAAATAATCACTTCTCAAAGGTAAAGTGATACTCTTTAGAAAGATCATCACAACAGGAAAAAAAGTCTCAGAAAATATTCCACCTTCTTAAAAAGATATACATGTTATTTCACACCTTTTCATCAGTGCAACTGAAAGACTGAAAGAAGATTTAATTTAAGACCGAAAAAAGCATTTAATATGTTTTGGTGTTGCCCAGCTAGAACAACTGTAAAGCTTTCACAGAAGTCAGCATACTTCAAGATTCAATTTGAGATCTTAAAAAAATTTCCATAATGGCTTGCTGTGTATTTTAGTATCTCACACTGACACTCAAGTTACGCGAGTCCTTAATCTGACTCAGTGGCATAACTGACCCCCAAATTCAGATGTCTTTACTGGGTGTAGTATACATTAACTGCACATTTGTCTTACCTCTGTTTGTAGGCAACTCAGATTATTTCACAAGTCAGCAGAGCATCTGATGTGAAAACAATCAAGGTGCAGAAATTTTACTTTACATAAGTCTGTTACTAACCTTTCATTACAAAGTGTTTGTTGAGTAAAATGACTGCAATTTTGTATTGACTCAGTCCGTGGTTCAAGTTACTAATGTAAATATGGACATCAACAACAATCAATAAATTTTCTTCTAGTTTTACAGTGCTACAGAGAACAGAATTCATGCTTTTTAGTTACACCTAGTTTCCAATTATCAGCACACTGAAGCTTACAATGAAAGCTTGCTCCTAATACATTTCAATTTATTAAAAAAAAAAAGAAAGCTTGAATTAGATAATCCAAAACTTTTAAAAGAAACTATTTCCTCTAGAAAGAAGAGCTATCTTTTTTTTTTTTAATCCTATATCATCTATGTCAGCAGGCTTCCATCTCATCTGTTGACTGTGGATATACAAACCTTTTGCCAGTGCCTCTTTGTATTTCTCCTCCGCAACATTCAGGTTGTTCACATAGGTAGCATGATGTTTGCTGTGGTGCAGCTGCATGATCTCTGCATTAATATGAGGTTCCAGAGCACCATAATCATATGGCAAGTCAGGAAGAGTGTGCTTTTGCCTAGAGACCAAGCATCCCAATGGTGCTATCAACTTGGCACTGCTTCTAGAAGAGAAAAAAAAGAAAGTAGTCTTATTCAGTACTGAGGCTTTACCACTGAAACCGTGACTGTTTTGATCAGCTGCTGTAAGTACATCGGGTGATTATCTTAAAGAAGTCAAATTTCCATTTTTCCAGAGCTCAAAGCAAGCATACTCTTTAGCTTAACTGCAGAGATAAATTCACATAAGGGTCGCAGATCTAGGTTTTCCAATGTAAAGCTGTCACTTCTCAAATCAAGGCCCCCAAGCCACTGCAGACTGCCTTCCCATGCATGCAGGAAAGGCAAAAGTATGGAGAGGAAAGGAAAGCCAACAGTAACACATAACATTCAAAGCTTCACCTCATCTTTATTGACTAAAAACAGAACCCAAAATGTCCCTAGTACATTTCCCTCCCTCACTATGCAAAAGGTCCCTGCACTGAAAAATAAAAAGGCTGAAAAAAACACAGTCGCAGGGTTCCCAGGACTGAACCTCTTTAGCATTAAGGCTTCCTGAGCCCACACACGTGCTGCACCATCCCTATGGCGGGTACTGAAAAAACCACAGACAGCATGAGGGCAGGGCAGCCGCGATGCCCAGCACGGAAAACCACACAGGCTCTGGTTACCCTTCCCCATTCTAACACTTTGCACTTGCCATGAGACATGACAACAACCATAATAAAAGGAGAACCGCCGGGCCGGAAGGAAGGTCAGCTCCTGAGGCCCTTTTATGTTTTGCTGGTGACCTTGGCATAAACCAGGGACAAACCAACAGCAAAACCCTCGGGGCCCTGAAGACAGGCTAAACGCGGGACCCTGCGTACCAAAGACGCGAGGATCTGGCAGCACCAC